GCGGGGGACGTGGCCTTACAGCAGCTAGTGCATTTGGAGTTATCAGTAAGCAGTGAGCTACGAAGGCGCCGGCTCCTTGGGGAAGAGCAACAAGCAAATGAACATGCAGCAAGGAATACAAAAACACCAAAGAAAAAGGTGAGAGCTGGAGTTACTGTTGTCGTACCTCATACCTGCAGCTTATGTTGTTTTTTCATTGGTTGCAAAATGCTGTGTGTTTGTAGTTTGGTTTTCATTTTTAAAAACTTTTTTGAACTCTTTCTTTATAACCCTTACTAGGAGCACTTGCTTGTCACTATGTTATTGAATGGCGAGATAAGCAAATCCGGCTGTGGCTAATGCTGTAGATAGGAGTAAGCAAAGTCCATGATCCATAGACTAAGTACTTAAACCTAATTTAGTGAGCATTTCATTATTTCTTTGGTTCCTTTGCCCAAAATTAATATGGAGCCATGCAGTGAACTTGAAAAATATCATAATGTTGCTTTCCCCTTGCTATACCCCTTCATTATTTGAAATCATTTCTCACTGTTTATAAAGTAGTGTTCATGTTATCACTTCTTTTTGGGCGGGGGGGGGGAGATAATTCATTCTTCAGACTTGGTTTTCCCCATATCTGAGTGACAAGCCAAGTCTCATTTCCTGCAGCACTTCCATGGCTGGAATTATGAGGTGTTGCATATTATGCTATGTAACCGAATTTGAAGATTTTTTTCTGTTCCTGGTTTGAAAGTGTTATTTCTGTTTAATTGTGTGGTACTTACTTTGAAAGTAGTTGTTATACTCCAGAAACATCGTTTTTGTGGCTGTCACGAACTATGTTGAATTACTCGAGACTGAGATATTCGTAGCGAAATATGCTGCAGGATGTTCCACTGTGCTGTCGCACCCAAGCTGCTTTAAATGCTAATGTGTCTTAACTTTCTGTCCGCTTGAGGGATCCTGGTTTTGCCTGTCTGTTTGAGCAAGGAACCCCACAGAATCAATGTCCATGCTATTGCTTTATAGAAACGGTAACAATTTTTTAATTGGTCTTGGACCCATCTCCACCCAGGCAGTGGTGGAGATGGGCACTGGTGTTTGTTTCCCCACAACGAAGTCCATACTTAAAATTTGAAGGGTAACTGATTGTTCCTGAAGCTGCCAGACATGAATGATTTCTGAGAAGAATAGATTAAAGTTTCCCTTGCTCACTTTTTCTGGTAAAGGTGCCTCTGAAGCACCCAATTCCCAAGGTGATCAGGTCAAAGGCTGAGAGAGCAGGACTCTCCTATTGAGGCCTGGCACATTGTTGAAGGCGCTAGAAATTCCACAGGTTGCCACTGACCAGCAGTAGATCAGTATGTTCAAATTAGTTCCCAGAAAAGTAGTTCGTATTGGCTTAAAATGGCTTGTCTAAGCCTGGATCTCGCTGAGACCAATAATAGACACGTCTTGCTTCCAAGATTCCCTGGTGGTAATAACTCTAATAAAAATGGCTTCCTTTCCCCAGCAAAAGGGTGGGCAAATTTACTGATACAAACCAGGAAGGGTTTTCTTAAACTCCACCCTCATAAACTAACAGAAAAATGGCTACTCTTAAGCTGTGGGTGAGTCAGCCTAACAAAAGAAACTGGGGCTTAAACAGTTCCAGCACACCCACAAAACGACGTTTTTTGCCACTTAATAAACTTTTTCCATATTTTATGATAGAACCAATTAGGAAGTAACATTTATGACCCAGGAACAAAAATTGTGTTGTTGTTTTTGTTTATTCGTTCAGTCGTTTCCGACTCTTTTTGACCTCATGGACCAGCCCACGCCAGAGCTGTGTTATCTGCCAAAAGTTAGGCATGTCTTTTAGGGCTGGGCGGTTTCGTTCATTAATTTCGTAATTCGTTATTAATTCGTATTTAAATTAGCTTACGATCCGATATTGAGCCATGCAGGAGCAATTAAAAATCGAAACAAAATTTTCAATTTATTTCGTAATTGTTTTAAAATTGTTTTGTAATTGTTTCAAAATTATTTCCGTATGTCTGGTGCAAGTTTTAGGGTGGTTGTTTGTTTTATCAGTGATAAAAAATAAATTTTATCACACCAACAGTCAACAACAGAGGGAGAGGGAAGCTTCAGAAGTTCCCCCTGTCCCATTTGGAGGGGTTTTTTTGCATATTGCGCAATCGTGTCCGCCATTAACGAATCAATTCGTAATTGTTTCGTAATTTACGAAATTTCATATATTTCGAACTTTTTTAAAGAAAAATTTCAGAATTCTTTTAAAAAACGAAACGCAAAAACCCCCTAAAAACGAATCGAGTTTAGAAACAAATTTTTCCGTGGTTACCCAGCCCGTCTTTGTATTTGTTCCATTGACTCTGCCATGCTTCAAACTAGGCACTTGAATGGAAGGTTACCTTATAACATCTTCCTTATGCACAGAGCACTGGGAATGAGATCACCATGGAGGAGGACCTGGGGTTGGTTGGGGCCTCTGCGGAGGACACGGAAGCAGAACTCATCCGCAGCATTGAGGAAACAGAGCTCTTGGATGGTGAGCATACTAGTCTGAGCACAGGTTTCTCCTTCTGCCCCATAGTTTTCATGTTGCCAGAAAGAGGCGTCAGCATTTTACCATGTCATGTCTCCATGAGTATTTTTTAAATTGTACTTTTAGACCTATGTTTGAGCTGGTTTGTAGCACACATAGAAAAAATATGGGCAGTTCTGATATTGCCAGATTTGGGGTTACTATTTTGAAGAGTACAATAGACTGACCCACTTCACCTCTGAACAGGTCGTGCTGTTGCTCTTGGCATGATTGGAAATGTCATCCCATATCTTCTGGCGCAAGATTGAGCATAATAATGGTTGATTTATGCAGTTTTTCTAGGGGGTGGTAAAGATACTCAATACTTTGTTTTGTTTAGTAGGTTAGATTATTTTGGGGTGTTTGGCTTGTGTGGGGGAATGGTGGTGTCAGGCCTGGGCTTGGGTCCTGGAGACTACATCTTCACCCCTACCATAGACTCGTCAGCTGTGACTTCTACCATTTCTTATTGTTTATAGGAAAACAGTTACTTTCAGCCTTTATCCCATTGGTGCTCAAGATTTGCAGCAACCCAGGACTCTATGGTGATCCAATGCTGACAGCCTCGGCTGCATTGACCCTTGGGAAACTCTGTATGATCAGGTATTGCTTTGTTGCCCTCATTTTTTTGCTGCACCCCTCACATTGCCATGCATTATTCTGCCAATGAAAGGGGCCTCTTCACATATATACACATAATAAAAGTGAAAATATGTATGTGTGTATGTAGCTGGGATGTCCACTTCCACAGACAAGCTCTTCCCTCCACAAACAGCTATCACTCCCACTACTCAGGAGACACCAAAGGCCCTTCCTCTAGTGACATTGCAGGTTATAATGAGCACCATGAACATGTACAAGAGCCCGACCCATGCCCTCCCCAAGCACCATACTGCCCACCACCCAAGTGAAGTCTTTCAGACAGGGACCATTTCATCCTAGATTTCATGGATTTCCTCCATCACAGACATCCTAGTGTTTCTTACTCTCTCCATTGATGTGGAATTTGCATGACCCCACCCACTGCCTCTCGCTTAACCCTTTCCTATTCTTTTCTCTGGCACACAACAAACAGATGAATTGATCAGCAACTGAACATACTAGAGAGGTTTGGGGAGAATTCACCATGATTTACAGGAGTTGTAGGTACTGGAATGTATAGTTCACCTGCAATCCAAGAGCACTGTGAACTCCACAACGATGGACCTGGAATTAACTTGGCACACAGAGCCCCCATGACTGCAAAAAAATATTGGAGGTCTTTAGAGGGATTTATAGGAATTGTAGTTCACCTACATCCACAGCACACTATGAATATAAAGAATGATGGATCTGGACCAAACTTGATATGCATACCTGATATGCCCAAATTTGAATAACCGTTGGTTTTGAGAGGAATTGGCCTGGACATTTTGGAGTTGTAGGTACTGGGATTTATAGTTCACCAGAAATCAATGAGCACTCTGAACTCCACCATAGATGGAATTAGAACACAGACCAACAAAAAATACTGGAGGTCTTTTGGAAAAATTCACCTTGACTGAAGGGAGTTATAGTTCAACTACATCCGGAGAGCCCTGTCAACCCAAACACCAATGGATCTGGACCAAACTTGGGACACATACCTGATATGCTGAAATTTAATTACTGGAAGGGTTTGGGGGACTGACTCACCATAGTGGGAGTTGTAGTTTATCCTACAGTCAGAGAGGACACTGAGCCCCACTAATGATGCATCTAGAGCAAACTTGCCCAACATAACAAACTTTAAGTACTGGTGAAGTTTTTTAGTCAACCTTGCATGATGTGAATTGTAGTTCACCCACAACCTTATGCATTTTGTACAATTAAAAATTGACTTTTTCAAATAACCTGGTCAAAGCCAGATATCCAAGCTATTATTTTCATTCATATTCATATTTTTACATACACACACACACACACCCCAAATTGATTTGCTTTGCCTTTCCATGCAGTACAGAGTTTTGTGATGCTCACTTGCGGCTCTTCTTCACAATGATGGAAAAATCCACCCACTCCAGTGTGCGTGCCAACCTAATGATTGCAGCTGGAGACCTGGCCATCCGCTTCCCCAACCAGGTGGAACCCTGGACACCTCACCTGTATGCCAGGTAAACCTTTGTGTACAAAAAATGGTGGGAGAAAGGGCCTAAGTCTGGATAAGGAAGGGCTGTCGTGGTCTAAAGTGTTGCTAGTAGTAATAACAAAAAAAAAGCCTTCAGGTAGTCTTACATTAAAGCTGGGAAGATGGCTTTGATATTTATTATCATTTGGATGGCTTTGTTCCACAGGCTGCGTGATCCTTGTCAGTATGTGAGGAAGACGGCTGCTTTGGTAATGACTCACTTGATCCTGAAGGACATGGTAAAAGTGAGGGGGCAAGTGAGTGAAATGGCCACTCTTCTTATTGATCCTGAGGAAGAAATTGTTGGGTTGGCCCGGAACTTCTTCACTGAACTTTCCAGCAAGGTGAGGCAGCAGGCTGTGGTGTGAATCTGGAACACAAAACCTACTACAGTCAGCAATATGAGACTATACAAAGAATAAAACAGATAACTAGACTACCTCAACACAGACTTGCAGAAAGCAGTGAAAGAGAGAGAGGAACCACACTGGGAGGGATGGAGATGGGCAAATCACAGCTTAGTATTTCAGTAATGCAGTAATAAAACCCCAGAAAAAGCATTAGATTCTATTTAAGCAGCAAAGTGGCTTTGGCTCTGGATTCAGTGCAACAATTGCAATGTGTGACTCCACCTGAAGCATATTTTTTATCCAAGAATTAAAACCTAAGAAAAGTGTTTTTTAGTCATGTCTTTTCAAAGCATGATTCCAAACAGCTATTTTCATGTTGGATGTTTGAGAAAGGTTTGTCTGCATGCCTAGCTGAAGGTAAGAGAGAAGAAATGGGCTTGTGCCTTTGTCTAGTACCTATATGTTAGCTCATAATTCCTAATGTTGTAGGCACCAGAGACCCTAAACTTGGACCACTGATATAGTTCACAATCTCGCTTTGTCCGTGCAGGATAATGCTGTGTACAACTTGCTACCAGATATTATCAGCCGTCTCTCGGATCCAGAATCGGGCATAGAGGAGCAGTCTTTTCGTACCATTATGAGGTAGCTTTGGTTTTTCATTATTCTCCCGAAGGCTGAGTGTTTCATGTACAAAATGTCTTGAGTGAAATTCTTGATAAATGAAACGGGACCCAGCACAATGCATAAGGCTGTGAATATGGGGCATCTGAGGACCAGAAGGGTTCAGAAAAAGTCAGGCCCTAAAAACTGATTTTGGTTATGCAATATTCCATTCTTGAAAGCTATGCTATTAAATAGTATAATAGATTGTGCAGACAGACTACAAGCAGAGGCAGAACACCGTTGCTCAGATGATTCATTGGAACTTGTGCCACAAATACCATCTGTCTGCAACAAAGAACTGGTGGGATCACAAGCTTGAATAAGTTACAGAGAATGAACACGTCAAACTCCTCTGGGACTTCCAAATTCAGACAGAGTTTTGGAGCACAATACTCCTGACTGCACAATTGTGTTAAAAAACAAAGTATGGATCTTCAATGTTGCAATCCCAGGTGACGGCAGGATTGAAGGGAAACAACTGGAAAAGCTGACACAATATGAGGATTTAACTATCGAACTGCAAAAACTATGACACAAGCCAGTCAAGGTGGTCCCAGTGGTGATTGGCACACTGGGTGCAGTGCCTAAAGACCTTGGTCTGCACTTAAACACAATCAACACTGACAAAATTGCCAGCTGCAGAAGGCCACCTTACTGGGATCTGCACGCATTATTTGCCGATACATCACATGGTCCTAGACATTTGGGAAGTGTCCGACGTGTGATCCAATACAACAGCCAGCAGAGTGATCGTGTTTGCTATGGACTCATCCTATTGTGTTAATAATAATAATAATAATAACAATAATAAATGTGTTACTTATACTTTTTCCCCCGGGGACTTGGGCGGCTTACAACAATGCGTGCATGTGTGTGTACGTGTGTGTGTCTGTATAGTGTATATATATATATACACACACACACACACATATATATATATATATATACACATACATACATGCCGTATATGCTCAAGTATAAGCCAAGTTTTTCAGCCCTTTTTTAGACAGAAAAATCCTCCCATAGCTTATACTCAAGTCAAAGTTATTTATTATTGTACTCTGTTGTTGTTGTGTTATTATTATTTATTATTTTACTCTTATTATTTTTATTAAATTCACATTATTTTACTCTATTATTTTATTACATATATTATTTTACACTATTATTGTTACAACTATTATTTTTCTCTATTATTGTTATTACATTTACATTATTTTACTCTATTATTATTGAAAGGATATGTAAGCACGTTTACATTGAAGAAGGGTAGAATAATGGTTTAATCAGAGTTGGACAGTCTTACCTTAAATTACAGTTTTATGTAAATATTCAAAAACATTAACCTACTGATGCCTCAATTAATGTAATTTTATTGGTATTTTATTTTTATTTTGAAATTTACCAGTAGCTGCTGCATTTCCCACTCTTGGCTTATACTCGAGTCAATACATTTTCCCAGCTTTTTATGGTGAAGTTAGGTGCCTCAGCTTACATTTGGGTCGGCTTATACTTGAGTATATACAGTACATACATACATAGTATCAATCACACTTACAATCCAAAAGGCAAAATCAAAGCGATCAGATCAAAAGGAAAAATCACATTACATAGAGAAAATAATCCCAATTAAATGACTGCTTAATTGGCTCAACCTCCCCAATCTTCATTTGTCCCACTTTTCGCCTGTTCCTCCCTTCCCCATTAAAGCCTCATCCAGCTTTTAGATTCCTTTCTTCCTCTCTCCTTTCCCTGAGCTTCATTGCCTATCATCCCACCATAAACTGCAGCCTGAATTTCAAGCCCTTCTCCGCCAATCCATCTCATCCCTTACTCCTATGGCTCACCATAACTGCTTTAAATTCAGGCTGAGGCTTGTGGTGGGACGATAGATGATGGAATCTGGGGTGTCCTGGTGGCAGGAGAAGAGACAGTGAGAGATGTGGGGAGAAGGAGTGAGTGGGGAAGAAAATAGATTGATGGGGACAGCTTTTAAAATTAATCTGATGCCTCTAAGAAAGGGAGTAAAACAGTCAGAGCCAAACAGCGTCTGTAGGATATTTTTAGGAGAAGCCAGAATAATTTGTATTTTGTTTCATTTCTGTACTGAATCCCTAACCACTGAGAATACTGTAGTTCCATTCACACTTTTACTCATGATAATCTTGTTTTAATCCTTTCCTCCATCCTGTCTCCCAGGCAACTTTTCTCTTATATCACAAAGGACAAGCAGACAGAGAGCTTGGTGGAAAAGCTTTGTCAGAGATTCCGGACTGCGCAGTGAGTAAAGGAATTGCTGAGTGGGTTTACTTTCTGGGAACAACACTAAATCCTTGGGTTCTAAATTTGGGAGCCATGATCTCTTGAATAAAGAATATGTTGGAAAAGAGTTGGGTGGAAGAATCTGGAGTCTGAGAAACAGCCCTTCCCTTGGCTGAGAGGCCGGCCAGGCAGGAGGAGGGCTTTTGGTGGGAGGATTTATTTATTTATTTACGACATTTATATGCCGCCTTTCTCACCCCGAAGGGGACTCAGAGCAGCTTACACGACATACATACATACATACATACATACATACATACATACATATATACAATATATTATGTTATTAGCATAGTACAATATCAGTATTAAATATTACTATATTGTACTATACCATTATATTGTAATATTATTAGTAATATTACATGTAATATAAATATATAATTATAATATCATATTATTAGTAGTAGTATTATATTGCATTACATTATAATATTATATGTATATACAAATATTATATTATATTACATTACATTACATTATATTATATTATATTATATTATTAGCATAGCACAGGAGACAAGATGGAACTGTCCCCTGCCCTCCCCCCTTTCACTCTGGCCCAGAGCGGCAGTTGGGGGAAGGGGTGGCCGTCTATTTCCAAAAAAAGGAAGAGAAGGGCAGTGGAGAGATCTTAACTTTCTCTCCCAAAGGGCTTTCTAAGACCATCAGAAATATGTTTTCTGATGGTCTTTGGCGACCCCTCTGAAACCCCCTCGTGACCTCCCCCAGGGGTCCTGACCCCCAGGTTGAGTAATGCTGCTATAGCTTTTTCCAGGTTCTAGCAATCTCAACTCTTGCGTCACCTACCATGAGCAGCATAAGGTTTTTATTTCCCAAATCCTTATTCTCACTTTTGAATACAGATATAATTAATAGGGCACCCCCAAAATGTGCTATTTCCCCCACTATTTAACTTTTCCATGATAGAACCTCATCCCAGAATCTCCATATTTTTGGGCACAATAGCCACATGTGTCTCCAATCCCCTATTTTTCCTATTTTAAAATCAAGGCTGTCCTGGCTTTAAGGCTATCTCTACTCTGCTGGAAATAACAATACCTGCAGGGTTTTTTATTTATTTGTGTATTCTCAACTGCTTCATTCGAAGAGAGAGATTATGCCAGTTTGAATAGAGGCCCAGAAACTGAGTAGGAAGTTCTAGCCAAGGTGTTTTGTAAGGCTTCCTTTTGTTAAAGTGAATGAGCAGGCCAGGCTCTGATAAATTTGTATGCAGTGAGCTTTGCTAAACAACACCGTCTCGCTTTACTCTTTTTTGCCCCCATTGTAATCTTCCTTGAATGGCTCCAACTCCTTATGCTACCACTAACCTTTTTTTTTTTTAGTTTTGGTCGTGTCAGGAGTGACTTGAGAAACTGCAAGTCATTTCTGGTGTGAGAGAATTGGCTGTCTGCAAGGCTGTCTGCCCAGGGGATGCCTGGATGTTTTGATGTTTTACCACCCTTGTGGGAGGCTTCTCTCATGTCCCTGTATGGGGAACTGGAGCTAATAGAGGGAGCTCATCCGCACTCTCCCCAGATTCGAACCTGTAACCTGTCAGTCTTCAGTCCTGCCGGCACAAGGGTTTAACCCACTGCGCCATTAGAGGCTTCTGTTACCACTTACCATGCCGGCAGGACAGCTGACCGAAAAGTTAGTGGTTTGAATCTGGGGAGCAGGGTGAGCTCCTGTCTGTCAGCTCTAGCTTCCCATGCAGGGACATGAGAGAAGCTTCCAACAGGATGATAAAATATCTGGGCGTCCCCTGTGCAATGACCTTGCAGATGGCCGATTCTCTTACACCAGAAGTGACTTGCAGTTTCTCAAGTTGCTCCTGATACGAAAAAAATATATACTTTGGAAATAGTTGGGGTACTAGTGCAGTCAGTACTTCGTCCCATGTTCTGTTACCAGTATTTCTGGTTTTGCTGTCCACATCCTATCCTTAACATGAAAGTGCTGGCACACCAGTGTCCAGGCTATACTAGTTCAAACCTCATGTGGGAGCTCACAGGATGGCAACACTCCTAGT